TTCTTTACACTCTGACAAACTGCTGTTGGTTACACCCGATATTGTTACCATCCCATTTTTACCAATGTCTGCCTCTTGCTTGATGGTGTTCTTCTTTGTTTTTGTTTTTGTTTCAGTTTTGCTTTTAAAATAATTGTGCATATTTCAGTTGGCTGAAATATTTCATTATTTTTGTTGTTTTTGTTGTTATTATTTCAGCGATTTTTTTCTTTATTCCTTTTCATGCCACCCTTATTCTGCTGTTTTAGCTTGATTTAAATACAACTTATTTCGTTCTTGTTTGAGCTCATCCTTAAAGCCTCAATATTCTGCCCATTCTTTATATTTCAGAACACAGAACACAATATAAACATTGATCGCGGCTGTAAAAATTTTTACATGTTAAAGTACACACATCATGAACACATGCAAATAACCTGTGAAAGAAAGGCGAAATGACATGACAAGACAGATGTAGCAAGCAGTTGCAGGCGTGAGTCGATCTGCAGAGTGCTTGAACCGCAGTTCAACCTCAGACTCGCAGCGCTGGTGTATGTAAGAGACAGAACTCGCAGACTCACAGATCTCCGACGTTCAGCGTTTAGTGATCGCTAAATCTCGCGTGTTCCAGGGATTCAAGGTTTCTCGACCCTAGGCAGACGTCAATCTGGTAGAAGGGAAATGTGAATGGCTATTTTGCTTGTTCGTATTGCTTGCTGACTGTGCAGGAATTTAAACCTGCGACAATTATTTAGTGGTGTAGAGTATATGTGGACTTCGGTTTAATTTTGGAATATACTCTGGGAATGTGTCAGTATAATTTTTAGTGTTGGTGTGATAACATAAGTGTCTCTTTCGTTTTGGTATTTGCAGAATTTATTCTTAAATGTAATCTTTTAATTCTCACTGTGTTTAACTTATGTTTATGACTTTCGTAGATTCATAATTTACGTTATTAGTTTTCAGTGTTTTATGGTCAGTTTTACGTTTTAAACATAATCCATTCATTTTGAATTGTAACATTAACGATTCAATCTTCAGTTATGAAGAGTTATTTGAGACTATGTTACATTCCTTTTTATGTAGGCGATCCATATCAGACCAGTTGTGCACTGGGCAAATATCAAAAGGAAAGGACCCTATTCTAAGTCTTCTGGCAGGTTGGGTATATCGGGCTAGACCTATATTTTATAGACACATCGGCACTTAATAGGTGATGTGGTCAGCATCATACTAGTCGACTTTACTTCCCAGGACTGTACCTGGTATCCATTTAAGGCTGGTTCGACTGGGAGCCAAGGTCCTTTTTGAAAAAAAGGTCAGGTTCCTTCATGATCTGAACCCACGACCTTCCGATCAGCAGGGCATATAGGGCAAAGACTTATATTTTATAGACCAATCGGCACTCAATGAGGCCTGTATTTAACATCATGCCGGCAACTTTTACTTCCTATAATGTCTTTGGTATCCACTACAGAATGGGTCCACTTGGGAGCCTGAGTCAATGTTGAAAATGAAGAAACATAATGCCTCCATTAGGATTCGACCCTACAACATTCGGACCAGTAGGTGAGAGTAACCGATGCCCTAAGGCTGGTACCCTTTTGGTCATAATTCCTGACATAAACGTGCAGACTTTACTGTAATGTCTATGAAAACGTAACTAATTTTACATCTAGAGGTGTCCTGTGGGTAAACTTAAATCCTATCGTCCTCCTTCGCCACATCCTGTTTATTCTCCTCTAACTATTCTTCCTCCTTCCCACCCTCCTTTTCCCCCTTCTACCCATTCTTCTCCTCTTCCCCATCCTCCTCCTCTTCCCCATCCTTCTCCTCTTCCCCATCCTTCTCCTCTTCCCCATCCTCCTTCTCTTCCCCATCCTCCTCCTCTTCTCTATCCTCCTCCTCTTCCCCATCCTCCTCCTCTTCTCTATCCTCCTCCTCTTCCCCATCCTCCTCCTCTTCCCCATCCTCCTCCTCTTCTTTATCCTCCTCCTCTTCCCCATCCTGCTCCTCTTCCCCATCCTCCTCCTCTTCGCCATCCTCTTCATCTTCCACATCCTCCTCCTCTTCCTTATCCTTTTTCTCTTCCTCCTTTTCTTCTCCTCACGCTCGTTAATTTTTTTTTGTCTGCTACTACTCCTCCTACTTCTAATCTCCTCCTCCTTCCTTCTTTTTGAAGATCTAGTTAAACTCCCCCCCCCCCTTTTTTTGACTTTCTGTGTGTGTGTTCGGGGCTGCTTCCCTAACAAGCATGCCGTAGAAGGCAACTAATTAGGATATTTTTCTTCGAAATCGCAGCGAACTTAAACTAAGAAGCTAGGAACCAATAATCTGCACAGAAATAGCCAGATCTGTAAAGCGGATGTGCACGCAAAACACGTGTTCTGTAACGAAACCAAAGTCCAGAAATGCACGAGCAACCAGAACTTTTCGCCGGACTTTACAGCTGGTGAAAGCGATTAGGAAGAATTGCCTACATAATAACACCACTGGTCTTTTAAATTGCCGCTCAAATCCT